GCGACAGTATTTTACTGACGAATCGTTGTATGCGATGAAATATGTTAATCATTCTGTCGATTAATCTAGTGCGATCGTTATTTTCTCTTTATTTTTTCTTTCAACGATGTTACTGTTCTTCGATACATTAATTATACACGCGGATTTTTCCACACCCACACGCACTGTCACGCAATTAATTGATCGCGGCAATACACACACATACACGCACTTACATACTAACAAACAGCTAATAACGTCGCCGATTCAGCCGCTTAATTTCCTGGTGTCGATACGGAATCACGGATCAATTCCTTACGAGAAGGCGATCAATTAATCATGTCAGGTTTTTTGATGAAGACAGAAAAGAAGAGCTAACCGAGCCGCGACGTCATTTCGCGATCGTGAATGTCACAAAAAAAAAAGGAGGAACTAACGAGATTTTCCAGGACTGATTCTGATCGCGAATAATTCCGATCTGGCTTTTGATTTGGCTTTCAAAAATGAACAAGCGAGTTTGTGCTTGTTACAGGATAATTTGCATTTGTTATTTGAAACGTCAAGATTATCCGTTTTTATTATACGAAAGAACGATGGAAGGATAATAATTTATTGAAACATTTGACATTCAAAATTAAATTGAGTTTGATTACCGAGCTTGAAATTGGAATCTATGTTAAAATTTTAAAGACTTGAGAAATTAAGCTAAAGATAAATTTAACTAGCGAATACGCTTCTATCCCATAAATTGTTAACGAAGCTGAAGCTATTTTGTGATTTTTTTTAAGTGGGTATTCTACTTTATTGGGTAAAAAAATTAATTTTTTTTTACATTTTTTCAATCCTTATAGTCTGTAGAATATCTCTGTAAAATTTTATATAAAAATTCGAAACATTATAGGATAAAGAAGGCAATTTGGGCTTTAAAACATAAATGTTCGACTGATAAAAATTCTCAATACGATATTGTTGTTCTCCAGGTCCTGAATCCTGCTGTAAATGGCGCAAAGAGGAACACTCGATACTTTTAAACATGATGACTTACCTCTGAATGACGTAATTGTAAAAGGAATTAAACTCATTAACGAGGATCTAACGCGAGACGATTTATTACAGAGATGTCTCGGAGCCAACACTCAGAACAATAATGAATCATAAAACTCAGTGATTTGAACATTTGCCGAAACACATCCACTCCGGCAGAGTTATCGTCAATATAGCCACGTATTTAGCTGTTCGCATTTTTAATGAGGGTTTTGACAATATTTTGAAAATGATGGTCACAATGGGAATTAAAATTGGATCCGCCGTTCAAAAATTAGCAGCTTCGCAGGACGAAATTCAAATTGTCCGATCCGAACTTCAGGTGACTAAGGTGACAAACAAGTTGAGTAGCTCGAGGGGAAAGAGCAGAAAAGGAAGCTGTTTATGAGGCGGAGGAAGGTCCACTTTATGGTCCCGAAATTACTGATTACTAAACGTAAGTTACAAAATTTTTAAGGATATTTTTATAAAATACACATTCATTTACTGTTGAAATGACATTGATAACTTAATTTTTTATATTTTTTTTTGGAGCTCGAAAATTTTTTTTTAATGTAAAAATCAAACTTTTTTTAAATAAGTATTATTAATTTATTTATTCAGCGAAGTTAATTATTTTATTTCCAACGATAATCGCAGGTGTCCTGATTGAAATGAAGTTTTATTTTTTTATTTCAGTTCACTGGAAAGATTTCGACTGGGAGAATGTCCAAATACTGGATAATGAAAGATTTCTAAATAAACGATTAATTTCGGAAAAAAACGTATATAAATATATGTTTATTTTTATTTTTAAGATTGTGAGCCTGTTAATATTTAAAAAAACAGCGCTATAAAGTAGAATACCCCCTTAAGGATTTTTATCGCGGATTTAAAAGAAAAAATTTGCTCGTGACGCTTCTTGTATGCGAGTATTCTTGTATGCGAGTTGCATTAGATTTATTCTTTTTAACTGAACTCGTATAATTCATCTTTTCTCTTTTCCAACATGAAAAGAAAAAGAAGAAAGATAATCATACAAGTTCAATTAAAAAGAACAGGCCTATTATTCGATTTCTGGACAGGTTTTGCATTTTTCGATGGTATAAATAGAATAATAATAAAAACGCCAAGCAAAATACTTTCATTCGGAAATCAGTCCCAGTTGGATCCCAGGACAAGGGAAACGCGTTTTCAGTCTCTCTTCTTAGATGTACGTAAAATACAATGACTTCCCTAATCTCTAATCCCTAATTACTAAATTTCGGCGTCAAATGAACGCCAATCTCGTACGCCAAGGCTCGAAAACTCGGGCGAGGTTTCATTTATATAATCTTACATCCGATTACATCGTGTAATTAATCCTACTTATATCGGTTTCTAATCAACAATCACAATTTCACGCGATTAAAATGCGCCGCCATTCTTTCTTATGAATCATATTACGAAACGAAATGCTTTGTCCTGATAACGATGTAAAACGATCCCGAGTATACTTTGTCATGCTGCGATACGTCTGGATATAAAACGAAAATAACATTGGTGAAAATTGTATTCACGATTATTTCTCATCATGAATAAATACATCTCACACGTGAACAGCTCGTGTAATTCGTTCACCGTTGTTTAAATGCATACTGAAAAAAAGTCTGGTAATAATAATTAAGCCTAGATGATAATTGTTAAAAAGATAATTGTTTAGTGAAATAATTTCAATGAAATGTAATTTAAATCGATTAATCTAACTAAACCAATTAATTTCTTTAAATCAGTCAATCTAATCAAACTAATTAAACGCTAATTTTACTTTCTCAAATATTACCCTATTTTTCTTATTATTACAAAAAATTTATTACTATTATTACGTTTAGTAATATCTATTAGATGTTACTAATACGCTAAACAAGATACATTTGATAGTTATTACCAAACCTTTTTTCAGTACCGACATTTATTTAGGATAAGCAACAAATGGAACGACGAAATCGTCGTGGATAATTAATTATTAATCCTTTAGTTGTGCGCAAATATACATATATCGTATATCTAATTTATAATTAAAAATTAATGTGATGAGAAAGCGAATATAAAAAAGACAATATAAGAAATTAATAAAAATCTTCACGTTAATTTGACACTTTATGTTATTCCACGTTCATTAATGTAGTCTGTGGAAATGACGAACGCTTCATAATTCACATTAAAGAAATATCGTGATATTCTGTTGCGTCATCGTTTTCCCGTCTCGTCTTTTTAAAAGTCTTTGAAAAAAAAAAAAAGAAACGATCGCAGCTAAAGGGTCAAACTCGAGGAATCGACCGAGAGCTCCGTCGTCGTCCGGTTCCTCTTTGTATACTTGATTTGGCGTACCGAACGCCGCGTTTGGAAGGCATTTCAGAAGGCATTGAATTCCTAGTGTGTATTGTCACGAGTTGACATCGATTACATGCCTTGACCTACCTATACGTGATTCCGTTTACGCTTCGCGAATTGAAAGCCCGATCCTGATGAGCGAAACCGACGTCTCGTTTCGCTTCAGAGAGCGCCGGATGTGGAGCGATCTAGTTGAATCCTGAATCTCTTAAGAAGAGCGTATACGAATAATCATTGCTCCAGGTTCTCGTTGGATTAAAATCGTTCGAAAAATTGCAAAGCAGAGGTCGACGATCGGTGATTCGTTGTACTATCGAGCGGCTATGTATCATATAATACTTTCATAATACTAAGAAAAAAGACGAATTATTCAAAGTGGCAGTTGCGCGGTTAGTTTATCCTGATTAGTCTCATGTACTTGATAAAGTATCTCTGGCAGTATATAGAGCTTCGCGGTAGATTCTTCTAGAATTCCCTTCCATGAAGTCCTTCCTCGGCGTATCCGCTTCCCTCGTCGGAAAATTAAATGAATACTTATAACGCAAAAGATATCAAACTGTCTCTCGCATAAAGTGGAAACACGAATATTCTAAAAATTCTCTCTTAGAAACAAGAAAATATTCCAACGTTATACGTCGACAAATACGTGAACAATTAAAAATCGTTTAAAATTTTGCAAAAACGAAAATTAATTAAAACGCATAGAAATAGATATCCTATCTAATTTCGTCATTTCGCGATGGTCATCAATATAAATATATTCCGAAACGATCGAGTCGAAATCAACATTCGATTCCTTTCGCAGAAAAACGATCGGATGCAGAAACGGAATTGCGTAAAAGGATCTACTGTGGAGCAACGCAGACGTCGACAAATCGCGTGTACGCGAATTGCGTGCGGAACGTTTTTACGTGCTGTACGCGCAATGCAATGAAGTTCTTTTTTTTTTCCGTTTCCACTCGGCATCGAAACAGGACCGTTCGACTGATCAGTGATAAATTGTGGCTCGGAAGCCACGATGTTGCATATTTAATACCACGACCGATCCGCCCAGACCCGGCTAATGACGTCGATGCAGATTTATGCTAAGGGAAACGGAAAAACGATTGCTCCTAGATTCGATAATATCCGATGAATAATGAAGTAAAGAGGACTCGGAAGGAAATCCGTGATGAACTCCCGATCGTCCTTTGGTAATACAAGGCGCAACGAAGGTAAGATTCTCGTCATTTCGTCTCGAATTTTCGTATTCGAATCTTGAGAGAGCATAATGATCATTAAGTTGAAAGAAATTGTCGAACGTTAATTACGCTGTTACATCATAATAGACGTAACACTTTCATTTCGTTCCAGTCTAAAGATTTTGCATGAATAAAAATCGAATATATTCTCGAAATACTTTAATAATACAATAATAGCAAAGATTACGTTAGATTACTCGTATAACGAATTTTATTGGTATAAAAGATTACATTATCAAAAACTGGCCGTCGAAAAATTTGCCGTAAAATGGCGAAATTGTTATAGAAAGCAAAACTGCCACGTAATAACGCGGCTACGACGCCCTATTTTTAAAAATGCTTACTCTCTCGGGCGATACTTGTGCACGGGTGGAATATCGTTGTCCGCTGGAAAAAAAAAAAGAATATTAATTCGCCTCGATCATAAATCATGCATTGTTTCTGCTCGCTACCGAGGTCCGAAGAGTACGCGTCATTGTCTGTTTTAGCGGCGTAGAGCCATTACGAATTCTGATTTATGAACGATGCGCATCCGAATAGGTTCTCGAAGCTGCATAAAGAAATGTTCATAGCGTTCCCGGGCGCCGAGCGAGGGTAAATTCTGAACACCCCTTTTAGACAGATAGAAATTAAAAAAAATTTTTAAATAGCCTTCGGATCGTATTTAGGCGGCGATGAGGTGTTTGTACCGAACACACGCCCGTTATATTTAGTAATGAATATTCGGTACGTAAAACATGACGGTAATTGTCTGAAGAACTCGCAATTAAAAGACATCAGAAAAGATCGAAATAGACGAGTGCCTTTTAAACATTTGTGTTGCTCGGATTAACACCCGTCGCCTCGAATGTTCTGCACTTCTTCTCGTGCTTGTGATAGATACGTTGAATATATACAGACATCTGTACAATGTCTCGTCGTCTAGAGTGCCTCGAGTGCGAAAGCGTCAAGCTCGAGCTAAAATATCACGATTTGAAAATCTCCAGCGTGATTCGGAATAAATCCAAAGTATCATATCGTTCTCGTGCGATTTTGTGAGTTCTCGATATTACATATGCCATATGTAAAGGAATAAAAAAAGAGAAACATGTACACGAAAATGCTCTAAAATGAGATCGACGAGATGTCGTAGCAAAGAGTTTCTGTTAATTGCGTACGGTGGAGTAATTGCTTATGTCAGAGAAGATGGATCGCGTGGCGGTAAGTCCGGCAGAACCAAAAACAGGAATGGACAATTAGCGTTCCCGTTCTTTCGTCAGCGAAATTTCACGATCTATCTTCGTCGGCGCAAGTGTATTCAGTTTTCAGATCCAATGATTAGAACGAAGTGTGTTTGCCGCCTGCTTCGTGCGATCCGATATGGATTGTTGGCGATCAGCACCCGCTCGAGACGGTCCGGAAGTTACCGCCGAGATTTCAGATAATCGTACATATAATCGCGCTGCTGATTTTCTGATTGTATTTCGCTCGACAGATGTTGCGAGACGGTGCGAATTAACGACTACATCGTCGAATAGCTCGCGACAGGAAAATCAAGTCTTACGTGATTTACCTTGTACACGCATTTATACGCTGTGTCATTTCTTTAATGTACATTCACTTTCTCTCTTTCTTTCTACGAGTAGAAATCCGCATTTTCGTGCGCCATTTTACGACCAGATAGGACAAAGCGTAAATAATTCTCTCCGTATTCCATCCGCGCGAAATTACGCTATCGCGTTTCGCGAGAACTCAAACAGCGAGAAAGTACAAAACATACCTAAAATACGTCTGGAAGGCGTCTTAAACACTTTCAGGGAATTCTTCAGACATTTCCCGGGCCTCTCTTGTACTCGCGTATTATCTGGGAAATGTCAATAAGAAAACATTTTCAGCAAAAGTTTCTCGACCTTTTAGCAGGTCAACACTAGAAAACTTCTTGTCCAATCAATCCTATAATCGATTAGTTATTACATGAAGACGCTTCGGTTTGTATCACCGAGCTTATCAACTTGCTTACGGAGAAGAAGTACAGCGGAAGAGACGCAGTACCGTTTACAACTGCGGACAAGTTATCGGCGCAAAGTGCAATCGCTGATTTCCTGGTGAACGGAGATCATTCATGGAACCCCATTACGACCATTTCGTTCTCCGTGTAACCTCTCCGTATAAGTTTTCCGCGATGAAAACTTCTCCGAACAGCGAATTGCAGCCGCGAGACGATCTCTCAGTAAGTTCAATCACGGGATTCAAATCGGATTGCTCACATCGCGCTCATCAGCCGACCAAGCGCAATGCCAAGTGTATTCGACGATTTTTGCCAACGATCACTGATGAGAGATTTTTAAATGTCGAAAGATCGACTCGGAGGGAGAATGATTGGAAATCATTCTAGCAGATGGTTTCCAACGGTGCAGTTTTAGTGCTCGGATTTTGCGTTACGCTGTCGCCCATGCTAGGCATCCCATGGCTGGTTGTGCTGTGACCATTACCCTGTCTCCCGGCATTAGTTTGTGGGTTCCTGCTGCCGAATCTCTTTAGTGCAGCTCGAACTTGCGGCTGGCAGCCGACCGCTGCAAAAATCAGTACTCCCTGGAAGGCGTTTATTAGATCGGTGAAGTACCAGATGTATTGTGGTCCGCCGACGGCCCATGAAACCACGTCGGCCACCCAGGTAATACCCATCACGATCACCAGCTTCATGCATATGCGGCCTAACGTCGCTCTGAAAGTAGAAATTAACAGAAAAGCTTAAGTGCAAGGTGTATAAATAGGAAGTTCTTTCAAGAAAATGAGAAATGTCTACTTGGAATTCCAAGATAGCACACTTATAACTATTTACGTTCTCGAGAATTTTAAAGATAATATGACGATGATGGTGATACAATTAAAGTAAAATTATCCCTCTTATGATAAGGGAGATTGGATGCAATCTGGCTTCGTTTATTTTACAGAGCTCATGCACTGTTTAACAGAGAAAGAAGTTTTATAATGTATATTATTTGTTTCTTTTTATCCATTTATTATATTGATTAAACGAAATATGATCAAAACAGCGTTGGATCGGATCTAATCTCTCTGCTTTTCTGAAATTTCATCTTAATCCTTAGCGCACCTTTCTAAACCTAAGATTTTTTTCACGTTTTTAAATTTTTCTTTTTCTTTAAACCTATATAAATTGAAGTTTTTTAATTCTACCGACTTTTACACATTATGGACTTATTCCTTAATCTTTAGACAGCCGAGGAAGCCACTTTTGTGTGGTATTTTAAAATAACATTTAAAATAACATCACTTTTGGTGGTATTTTTAATAATATTGTATTAAATGTATACATGTTACCCAAAATATATAAAAAAATATAAGTATTGAAAAATATACAAAAAATTAAAATACATAAAAAAATAAAAACATTATAAAACAAGTAAAAAAAAATACAAAAAATAAATTTAAAAACTAAATAAAAAAGAAAAGTCAAAAAGGAGCTACAAATTTTCTACGTCATTAACTCTGGGTGTTAAAGGAAAGTTCTCTGCATGAATCTATACGTTAATTTATATTCATTTATGTTATCAATATTGCGCTTAGAACTCAAAATTTTATAAATCTATGCTCAGAATTGGAATCAGCGAAAAATCAGCCAAAAACCCCAAAATACACTATTTTTGAAAAAATAAATATTTTTTATATTTAATCGTATAATCTCGGCCGGGAAAGCTACTTTTGTGACTCTGCACAATTTTCGAAATTTTGTGCCATGTTACTTATATAGTAAAATTTTTGAGAAAAAAGAATTACTATTTGAATGAAAAAATGCTGGCTGTCTAAAGGTTAATCAATTCTCTAGCAATGGAAAAAAAATTAATTGAAATATATTCATTTTTGTGGAAGTTACGGTAATACACAAATATGGATGGGATCCCAGGGAGCCCATCAAGCGTGCAAAAAAAAAAAAAAACAAATGTGTGCTAGAATTAACATAAGAGGGTTAAGAAGTACGTTTGTAATTTCAGTCAAACAATCGATTAATACGTGTAAACCAGAGAAGCCGCAGGCACAAAAAAGATCATGAATGAAATTAATTGTAATAGTCCGGTTGATATTTCGCTATTGTTTACGTTATGATCGTTGTGCTAGCGACGTCGCTGAATGCGTTATTGCAAGAAATTATTTATCGCGCTATGAGACTCTCTCCCTGACGGTCAATAAAGCAATCGTACGCTTCGCAACATATGACGTGCGTAATGAATGTAAATGGTACGCGATTAATTGACATTGTTTATTTGATATGCGAGACTGCGCTTTGTCTCGTTATAAATAATAGGCGATCAAATAATACGCGATTATAAATTTTCGTTTTCCTCATTGACATTTAACTGTTGACTTTTCGAGAAGCTTTCGTCTCTCTCTCTCCCCCTTTTTCGGTGTACCTACAAAATATGGTTCGATTCGTCCCGCCGATTTTCGTGTCCAAGGAAAAGCGAAATCCGCTATTATTCGTGGATTATTGCGAAACGGGCACTAGAAAAGTCTCGCTTATTGTTGAACTATTATCCGTTATTAAACGATTCATATGAGCCTCGCGAATAAATGCACCCTCACACTGGCAGCATTCGATGTACTATGCATCACATACACAGAGTTGCCACAAATTCCTCATTCTAAAATTTCACGACTTTTCCCTAATTTCCAGACAAAATATTTCACGATTTTCCCTGCTTTCAGTAATATTAAAATTTGTTTTTATATTTCCATCTTGCTTTGGAGACCGTCGAATATTTTGTTGAGAGCAATTCAACATAGCAATGTAAATTACTATTAACGTTGCTGACACTGCTTGCATTTAAAGAGCCAAAAGTTTTAATTTTCCATAAAATATTGCAAAAATCTCTAACTTTTCCCTGATATTACTTAAAACAACATCTCTAATATAAAGTTCGTTGTTCTTAATCTTCCTTCGATATATAATATAATTGTATTAATTAATTTGGTAGTTTTCCATATTATTTAATAAAATAATAGATTAAGTTAATCGAAGATTGGTCGAGAAAAAAATGGTCTTTAATCGACGATTTCTCTGATTTCCAGTTTCGTAACAATCCTGATATAATATATGTGTTCCGTCACGGGGAATCCCCAAAGTCAAAGCGTTATTAATGCGTCCTGTCAGAATATTCGCGGCCCGGACGGTATCGCAGAATTATAGCGTCGTAATGTCGTTTCGCGCGCGAGACGACCGGCATGGCGTTATCCTGACGCACCACGTCGGTCGCAGTCACCGAGAATTCTATTTTCGTTGGCGTTGCTAATTATTATGAACGGACCGCGTGCAGTCACTCGGCTGTTCGCGAGCGCGAACTCGCGGAGAGGAAATGAACGAGCATCGAAAATAACGTCTGAGAGGAAGAAACCGGGAAGGAATGAGAGACAGGAACGATGAGGATGACGTTGAGAATAATTGGGAATCCCGTCTATTATTATTTTTTTTTTTTTTTTTCCCCCGGTAGACACGACTGGAGTTGTCTTCTGTGAAGACAATTTGGTAACTCGAGTCGCGAGAGTGTCGGCGAGCAGACAGAAATTGAAATAGCAGCAGTAAAGACTAAAGCGCGTGATATGTCGTTTCAATTACGAATCTCATAGCTTTAACAGTGTAGGGTGATGATATCATAAATAAGCGGTGAAAAGATTTAATCAAGAGGGGATCCAAACTAATCTGTATGCCTTTATTCCCGCCTTGTGTAAAGCCTAAGCATAAACGGAGGAATATAGAGCGATTTAAGTAATTGTTTGAGAAAAAAATTTGTCTCGCGTATATTTGAATTGTAGCGGATTAGGAATCTCACAGATGTGAAAAAAAGAGAGAATAAAAACAGCCATTTAAGCAATAGAGAGTTTGATCGTTTAGGACCTCAATTTCCTATTTGTTGCGTATTCACATTATAGTCTCAAAAAGATACGTTGTTTAATATTGTTTATAAAAATTATTCTCCACTTTGTGTACATATTTGTCATGAGATTTTCTTGTATTCTTCAGCGTTACTTGCGCACAGAACGACACCTTCTTCTTTTTCTCGAAAGAGAAAACATAATTGATGGAAATTAGAAAATAAGTGACAGATACACGGTTAAAGCTTAAGTACGAAATAATTACGACCTCAGGAGATACAGACTAAATGCGTCTTGTTTCCATGGTGAGGCGCGAGGGATCCTGTTTTATAAATGAGGTAATATTACGCTTCCGCGTCGTAGCTTCCATCCGTAGAAGCGCTACGCGATATTGTACCTTCGCGCGTCCGCGCGAAAATTTCAGATCACGAGCGAGCGATGTGAATAAACGAGGAAGATTTGAAAACGTTACCGAATGAATACGATACGATCGAGCATGACAGCTGTCGCGCATCGGACAAAGCGCGACCGGAAGTGGGATGTATCGACTGGACGTGGAAAAGTACGATATAATTTGCACGAGGGTCAATATTACGAGCGCACGGCGAACAACAATAAACGGGAGGGGAATTCCTACGGGGAGAAGCGGGGAGCGAGTAGAGTGCGAGTGAACGAGGTGGAATGGGAAGCTTCCACGCACGGAAGCTCCGTAAATATTGAATCCCGCTGCACCGTTCTGTGCCATTCTGTGCCATTCTGTGCACGGTGGTCCGGCCCGGGCGTGTAACGCGAGACAATAAGGAGAAGGAACGGGAGAATAAATGAGAATGCGCGGGAAGAGAAACGCGAGAGTTTCAGGAGGCAACGGCCCAACAAAAGACTCGAGGGAAGATGTCCATTATCTAGGATCGGAGAGAAAGCGGGAAAGGGAAACGCGCGATTCGAACGATCGTCATCCGTGGCTTCTTCCTTTTTCGCTCTCTTCCGAGAGCAAACAGACCGAATGAAGTCGTTACAAGATCTGTACATATGTGAGAAAATTCCATTTTCCAATTCGCGATAGACAGAATCACGGGTTTTTTTTTTGCCGTTTACATTACGGACGGTTGATGGTTCAAACGGTTTTTTGTACGTTTTTTTTTTAAATATTTCGCACGGTTTCGTAAATAATACGGTTTTTTTCCACAGCTGTATAAAACGTGTGATGAGACATTACGAACCATTAAAGGAGAATGATTAAACGTCGCGTTTCGCGCTAATTATAAGATAAATTATGATGAGCATACGTGATTCTGTGCTGAGATTTCGCGTTTCCACGGCATTCATAGCGCGAGTCCACAATGAAGAGGAGCAGGAATATCGCGAAGTTATTATCTCGTTTAATCGACGGAGTAAAAACAGTGGATATTGGACGAGTCGCGCGAAGGGACGAGATAAACTCGGAAGATGAAAGCGACGACGCCAAGAAGTGGCGCGGACGAAAAATGATCTGAAATAGACAGCCACGGGAGCACGTTTATGTGCGTTTATTCGTGGTTGCAAATAAATGTCAATCTTCGCGGACGGCAAGAATGGCGGAAGGTCCGCGAACTCGACGACGGAGTTAATTGACATGAGTAGATGGCGGAGGGGAGGGAGGGAGAAATTTGCGCGCCTGCGACGATGACTTGGGAAATATCAAATGTGGCTTGATGCGACTAGAAAGGGTCGACGACTTCGAATAAAATTTTAACCATCGGCTTTCGAAGTTTCTTGACATTTCGCGCAGTTAATCATTCATAAGCTATGCGGCGTACGTTATTTTTAGACGCCACGCGAACGCCTGAGTGCTTTGCAATCAACGCATACAATTTGCCATGGTACTGGTAGAATGCAATCGTCGGGGGTGCTCTCTCCAAAGGGTCACGGATGTGTCTTTTTCTTCTAGAATTCCAACCAGGTGGTTTGCGATACCTACGATGTACGTACGGGAATATTAAAAAGAAAAAAAAAAAAAAAAAGGAGGGTAGAAACATAGGGCCGATAAATATGAACGAGTTACGAAGGAAGTGTACCAGCTGCAATCGCGATATAAAAGCGTGTAATAAAACCTCTTGCCAACGTGTCCGCACTTGTAGATCTTGCTCACGATTCCCGGTACTTTCTTCCAAGAAATCCACATCACGGGAGACATGAAGGTACGATATAACGTGAGAAAATCCTTCTTTCCGCGATTTAAGTGCGAAGTCAGGAAGTGGCGGCTTAAGGACGACAGACGCACGAGGCAGGTATCGCAGAAATATACTGTCTATATAAGTATATTTATATGACTCTCTCTCTCTCTCTCTCTCTCTCTCTCTCGTTTCCTACGTGAAGACTATTCTCGCGCGTTCTCGGACGTGTGGAGCAGGCGTCGGCGTAAAATATTTTTTGCCGGTGAAAATCCGCTATCTCGGCTCCGAGGCGAGGAACCGCGGAAACACAGATCTCCACTTTGCGCGACCGCGAGAGGAAAAAGGGTGGCGACGGAGACGTGAGAGCAGAGAGTGCATCGGACTTGACGAACTGGATCCGCACGTCGGATGGCACTCGCCCTCTCGACGGTTATTGCGAGTGTTTCATACCGCTTTTATGACCCCCGCGGCCATCGCCGTGTCGCCTTTTGTCAGAGGATAATTCAAGCCGGCTCCTCCTTCCTCCGGCAAATGTCAAATCGGACGTGATGTACGTTAACTTGGCGCCACTCTGAAACCATCTGACCGGCCGCGTGGGCAGGCGTAGGTCGTTTTAAAATGTCAAGATCTTTTTCTACATAAGTTTTTCTCTCGCGGAGAGAATCTATTACGTTACGCTAAAAAGTTTACTAAATTGTTATACATATTTCTTTGAATAGTACCTAAGTAAACATTTACTTATATATATATATATTGTGTATACATTAAATAAATATTCACTCAACAAAAAAATAATAATTAAATTAATGGTTTTTATATCAAATATATGTTTATATTTAGAGTAAATATTTACGTAGAACTACTCGAGCAAATATTTATTAAAATTTAGTACTTTTTTAAAAAGTATGTATTACGTCAGCGACGCACGTGGCAAACAAAAATTGTTATTTCATTCTAAAGAACGAGACGGCTGTTACTGCGTTATAACATGTTTGTATCTAATTTATATATCTTAACAAGCATTTATTACGTTCAAAACCATTAAAAACACTGACATTTATTTTGTTGTTTGTGAGCATATTTTTTTATTCTAATTTTGATGTGCGTATTCGTTGCGTATATTTACGTGTATTTATAATCACAGTTTTTTTCACCGAATATCTTCATGCTTTAAACTGAAATATAACACAAAACAGAACATAAAAAATGATAAAAATAATGATACTGCGCACATTTCAGTGGAAAGGAATATCCGAGGTTATCGGTGATATTTGTGTTATTTTTCTTTTTCGATGAAAAAAATCAAAAAGTCATTGTAAACTTGGCGTTGAATAAAAAATAATATTGTTATTTTCTCATAAATATCGTCATGAATGTATAATGTTCGTAGATTTTCGCAAGGCAATTTATCCACGTCAGGGTGTTCCGGAAACTATGCAAACGTACGTGATGAACGAAATCCGTTCGTTGAAGACATAGAACAAACTCGGGATGAGGCGAAATCTGCATATGCTATTACGTTTCCTTTTGCCAACAATGGCCGTATTGTGTTCGTGTACGTACATCACGGCGGGCAAATAGCGTCGTCGAAATCGCGAATTGGGATCGTCAATATCAATCTCGAATAGAGCGAGAGGATGTAAGCGGATCGAAGGGACGTCGAGCGAATGGAAAATAACGATTGCCTGATATCAGTCGGCTGGAAGGTAATAAAATAAACTTCCTTGAGCGTGCAAAGTCTGCGCTCTGTAAAAAGAATCTGTTCGCCTGTGCAAATCGGAAAGTACGAGGTGTCAAATACCTTTCCTCGTAAAAAAAGTGAGAAATATTTTGACGTTCCAATCTCTCACGTAAGTCGTCTGCACCTCAACGTTTCACATATCAAGTTAAATTACCTTGGTAACTTGAAATTAAAGCTTACTTGTGAAGTAAAAGATAAAATTTGTAGTCTTCAAGATTGTCACAAATTCCTCATCCTAATTAAAATTCCAGATAAAATTTCATAATTTTTCTTAACTTTCAGTAATATTTTAAAATTTTTTGTATTTACGTCTTAATTGGGAAATCGTCAAAAAAAATGTTATTAAAAGATTACTTAATAGAAGTGTAAATTACTGTTGTTACTGATACTGATACTGATTTGCGTTTTTAATTAAGTTAAGTTGGAATTCCAAAACACTGCGTAAGTGTAAGATACATATATTAAATTTCTTTAAAGTCAAGAATTTTAAATTTCCAGAAAATTTCACAAAATCCCCTGATTTTCATGACTGTTTTTTCATTTCCCTGATTTCCAGTTTTGTGCGGGCAACCCTGTATTTTTTCTAAGTTTTCCAAGTTATTTACATATTAAAAGAGCTCACATATTCGTCTACAAAAGTCGAAATAAACAATTTGAAACTTCCGAGGATTTTCCTTGGCTTTCGCCACATGTCCTTTCGTTTCTTCAACCAGTTATCCTTGATATTCAATCGAGCCCAGGCGCCGTCCTTCGGCGTAAAGTTCAGAATAAAGTCCCGTATTCCCGCGAAAAACAGGAGATCGGGCGTTTCGTCTGGGCTAATAAAACTTGATCGTTTCCAAGGTGTGAGTGTCGTTTCGCAGTCGTTGAAACGATCGGGCGTTCCTCGGCCGTGCACAGCGTCGCGTTTATTATCGTTGCATCGGAGCGTGTCGGAAATGGCCCGTAAACGCGGCTGTTGGCACAATTCCGGGATATTCCTAGAGTTATTGTTGGAGCATCGATTCTCGCGTGTGCGCGTTATCGATACGTTTCGTCTTTTCGCGAAGAGCAAATCGGAGCAATGCACTTCGTCTTCTCCGAAATCGTTCGGAATATTGTGAAAAGTCGCTTCTCGTTTGCGCGTTGTAACGAAACATTGGAATATTTCACATATTTTCCGATGAAACGAGCTTATGATCGAGCTTATGATCGTATGACTTCGACTTCTGTTCTTCGGTCTCTTGCAGTTTCGTGCGCACGTTTTTGCTTATTTAAACGTGAATTATATGGGAGATTTTCGTACGCCATGTGCAAGATGTTATAGGTATAAATTTTTGCGCGTTCCAAACCGAATTTCTAACGACTGTTCATTTTTACATGTCAAAATGTATTGCCTCTTGCACACGTCCAAGTATCACTTCACTTCGATCTTTAAATAGATCAGACAAATTGATCGTTCATTTGAATCGATTAACCAGACTCCGGGGCGAGCGAATCAGTCAGATACGAAGATAAGCGGATCTTCCAGTCCATGCAAACGAGTTTATCTGCATTGCGCGGTAGCAAGGTCGCGAGACTTTTAACTTTTGTTGGTAACGGCCATTCTTTGAAAACTGCAGAAAAACGCGAAGGGAATATTCATCAAATTTCATGGCCGGACGTAAGGTAAATGTTTGCGCGAGACAAAGGCTGGTTGGCCGATGTCTCGCGTGATGAACGTGCGACGTGTGTTTACATTTTCTCTCGATCTTGGGAAGAAAAGAAACCGAAGGAATAAACGTTATTATTTTTCACCGTGGAATGCTGGCAAAAGCCATATCCGTTGACCGCAAGGTTGGACCGAACGCCTCGAGAACTGGCTATGCCGCTTTGTTGAATTTAGGGGGACCATCAGCTGGTCAATCCTGAGCCACGCCGTCTCGGTTAATCCGACCAGATTGCAGGACGATCCTTCGTTAATCCATCGATAAATCGGCTGGTTCTGAATTACATGGATATACTCGGAGAGACAATTCTCGCGGAACGTAATTAAATTCATGCCACCCTGATCACAACATTTCGAGTTTGCTTTATTTTCTTGTATTTCTCTCGAAAATTTTCAGAGTGAATCTCAAAATCACTCTTAAAGATTGAACAGTGTGCTACTCCGACTGTTTCAATTTTCACTCTTTAGAATGAAATTCCACTTCCACACTCAAGAAGAGAGTTCCATTAATATTATTATATATATATATATATTTTTTTTAAATTAATTTTACTTAACTAATATTACTTTACTAATATTGTTTAATTAATGTTGCTTAGAGTAAAATGTAATCCGTTGGTAAGAGAAAGCATAACTACGCTGCAAGCATTGTTATATCGCCATATATTGTACGGGAAGATCGATTTTTGCATTGCAGAGAACTTTATTTATTAGCGTACAAAAGCCTTTTGTGGTAAAGTATAAATTAATATCCGTACAAAAAGAAAAAAAAAACTGTTATTCCGTACAATTTATTTAATTAGATCCGTTATTCATGAATAGAACACACGCAAATGAGCGTGTTCGTTTAAAACAGTCAAAGTTAAAACATGATAAATTATTTCTACGGAAACAATACTGGAAAATGAATGAGCAAGATATATTACGGTTCCTTTTTTTTCAATTACGACGAGGAGAATGTTTACTTACCTCTCGGTGGTGCTTTTCACGAATTCGCCTTTCCAGAGACCGCACGTCAATTCGCGAGCAGTTACAGCGAAAAACATAAGATTTACAGCTAGAAGCACTCCGATCGGTCCAAAGAAATATGCCAGGATTTCCATGTCACCTGCAAGGCAAACAGAACGAATCTAAAATTCTGCAGAAGATAAAAAATCGCAGTCTGCTTAACAATCATATAATACGATTATTTCACTCGCAGTTATGTTATAATAAATAATTTTTGTAATTGTTTATTTACCCAGATATAATTTATATCGCAATTTGATTTGTGAGAAAATAATATGTATTATTTTTTTATGGTATTACATGGAGAAAAGAGCCTGGTAATAGCTATAAGCAAATGTATTTTGTTATCGTATTGATACAATATTTAGTAAACATTACCAAACATAATAATAGTAATAGACCGTAATAATTATATTATAATATTAAACATTTAGAAAAGTAAAATAATGTTTTAATTATATTAATTGAATATTTCATTGAAATTGTCTTACCAAAGCATTTATTAATTATTTATTACCTACATTGAAAAGAATACTAAATTTTAATGAATATTTGTTTGGAAAATAAATGTAAACATATATTTATTTGACACAAAAACTATTACTTTAATTTAACTATTATTTTTTATTGAGTAAACATTTATGTACTAAGCAAATATTTACTTAAATGTTTACTCAAAGAAATATGTATTGAGATTTAGCAAACTTTTCTTCAGTGTAAGCTTGATTATTATTACCAAACTTTGTCTTCGGTATGAAAATTTCACGCGCAAACGTGGAGCCTACAATTCCTGTAAGTAATAATAATGCTGACGACGTTTACGATCAAAACGGTAGTAACGAGGTTTCCTAGAATTCATGTTTCACAAGGAAGGAACGTCAATTTCTATTTTGGCTCCGCTAATGGCTCATCGACACGAAACGGTTTTTGCACCTGGATTAATCATATGGATTCTCGCCCGTGGAACGACTCAGATCCAGGTCGATATATTTCCAGATTTTGAGCGGCGCAGATATGCGAACGGCGGTGGCTGTTTCGCGTTGCATACCAACCGATTCAATAATAAACGGCGCGATTAACTAAATGACCAGCGAGTTTATCCTCGCAATGTTTAATTCGGTGCATCTCCGATAATTCCGACAGTGGCTCGTGGCGTCTGTTCGAATGATGTGCCATTCGCACCAGAAAACGCAAAGATGCGAAAACGCTGATTTTCGACCACATCAGCGAATCAGGAAATGAAAGCTAATTATTGATTCTGAATTTCTTGACATTTTAACTCGTTGCAAATTATCCCGTTCCTATACTGTTAGAAATGTTCTTAAGTTACACAATTTGAGCTTAATGTCATGACATTACATTATATTAAATTTAATGTAAATTTCATGAAAATTTATGAAATTTAATATATTTTTCATAAAATTTTCTTAAAAGTGTATTAAATTTCATAAATTTAATGTACACGTTCATTACATTTAAGTAATTACTGTAACTTAATTTTCAGTTAAATCATTCATTACTTTTAATTTCGTTCATAATCACGAGCTTTGTTTACATATAAAGGAAGCTCGTGGTTACATTTCTAACAGTGTATAAATTATAATTAATTAAAATCACTCATGTGATTCTTGAAAATTCGTTTTGGAATTATAAAATCTTATCTATCGATGAGGAGAGACACGAAGAGAAAGACGCGTCTCGGAATGCGGAAGGCGAGTTTTCGTAATGCACGCGAGCGGAAATAGATGGACGGATTTATGACAAACAAATAAATCGTACGGTGTCGAGCTGTCGACAGACGCGGGTTTATTTTCTTGTCCGTATCGACGGGCGGCATGTTACGACGGAAAGAAAATAGGGACGTCGCGCCGGCCGGAAGTTCGTTTTCGAACGAACGTCTGAATGTGCGACGCGTCTCCCACATTTATTCTTAATTATTTATGACTCCGAGCGCGAGAACGGTAGTTCTCGCGATCGCAAACGATAATAACCAATGGGGCGCAACGCACTTTGTTTCCGTTATCCAATAATGTCCGATAGCCGATAAACTTTGCTGTAGCGTCATTGCACATTTGTCTCTCCCTCTCGTGAATATTGTTTACGCACCCGGCCGCACATATCTCAAGCGATTAAATTTTTTGCTCTTTTCGTAGTGTGTATGCACCATTTCCGAAAAGGGACGTAATTATTCCTCACCCCACAATTGATCGCGGGATTAACCCATCGCCCGATTTTTAATTAAAAACTATCGCAAAATAAATGTACAAATTATTATACTTTGTCTTTTTTTTTACAATTTTATGAGAATTAGATAAAATAACTAAAAAAAAAAATAACTAAAAAAAAAAAAAAAAAGAGAGACAAACATGTTCAATTTAATATCATTTGAGGAACAGTGATCTCTCGTGGTATATTACATTTGCAGAAATTACATTTGCTTTTGTGCAGGGATAGTTTCCAGAATTATTCACATTTATATACAAACTCTTGTTCCTAAAAAGTATGCCAAGAATATATAGCTCGCAATCCTTTGAAATGCGTTTCGGAAGCTTCGTAACAATGCTAACAACCGCGACTTTTGTTTCCTCTTGTTGTCGCTTTCGTCTGTTATAATTCTCTCCTCCGTTCACCTACAAGTATAAATCTTGCTATTTTTTAAGAGAAAATATTTTTTTGTGAAATTATTAAGAGGCCTCCTATCGAGGGAGAAACGTTGTATTGTATTTCACGCGATAAACCGGAGCCAGGTAATCGGGGGGGATAAAAATAAAGTGGAAAATCCACCCGATTCATGAAGGGAGGTGGGCGAGCGCGTGCGATCGCACGATTGAACATGGTACATTTTGCACGAGGTTACAACAACGAGGGTATTCCGTTGCGATCACGCGACCGCCATGCCATCGTGATCCCGTCGAAATTGCATCCGCGTGCGGGAAAGGGCGGTATGTGTTTAGCAGAAATCATGGTAAATCACGGGGAGCGTGCATTTACCCAATCGCGAATCGGATCGGATCTGATCGGATCGGTTTTCCAGTTCTGGTGCAAGGCTGCGCGATTCCCTGAATTCCTGAGATCTGCAGGCGCTGGTACGCGCGCACGCTCGGATTTCAAGTTCAAGCTAGACATCCTTATCCCGTATCACGTACGTATGTTTCAGTTAAATTCAAATATTTGCAATACGAATTCATATGCTGCTTTACAATCTCCTTGCCGTTGCGCGAATATACCAAGTTCTAGTAGATACAGAGGGAAGACCCCTATTATGGGATACCGAGTTCATTTTAGGTAAATGCTACTGAGTCTATGGACAGAAATTTTTAAAAATAATATAGGTCATTTTGAAGGGAGTTTAATAAGCTTTGAGATAATGTTAAATAAAATTTAATTCAAATTTCATTTTTTTTTTAAATTAAAGAAATGTAAAAAGCGAGCAAATCGCAAAGTAAAAAAATTGTACTCCTAATATAAGATGTTCCGAGAAATCGATAGTAAAACGCAAAGTATATCAAAGTATTGCAACTAAAAAATTTTATTTAATGTTTCTTAAATATAAACAAATACAATCAGGGCGAAAAATGAGTATGCGATACATTATACCTAGAATTCGTTTTCAAGTAGTTGAAATCAAGCATTGCAGAAATAGGCACTCGACGTTCATTCCGGTTGTTCTTTTTAGTATTGTACAATAACATTTATACTTTAGCAACGATTTTCACTATAACATGAGAGCATGGGTTTCATATTAGAAATCCTCTGGGTATCTCATATTACGATTTCCACGACTTACGGTTTTGCGATCATCAAATCTAACTTCTGTAATTAAGCAATTTAACATATCCCGTATTTTTCTATTAGTACCTTACTCTGTCACTATATGAAGAATTTATTGCCAAATATCTATTTTGTTTTTATTAAATAATAAACAATGTTTAAAGGCTCAATGAAACTTAAAGATATTCAAATTCTAAAATCTTTTTTTATATACGGTGACTACAAGCATGATCTAATAATAAATTTTCTACTAAACAGTTTTCAATCCAAGAGCAATAAATTCATGATGAAACTAATAAATAGCGTCTATTAGTTTAGCAGAAACGCCGTTATCTCATATTAGGCGCCTATCTCATAATAGGGGCTTTTCTCTATTTATATAATGTAAGATCAGAAGTAAACGCGATAATTTAAAGCAAAGTTGATTTCATTTGATGAAAGTGTTTACAAAATTGCGATTTTATGTAAATAGCATATAAAGAGAAAATAATGATCTAATAATATTCCATTATTTTCATACATATTTAATATCAGAAATGAAATATTTCTAAAATCTAGCATAAAATTTAATTATATTATTTGACTTTACGTTACATGACTATATTATTCTACAAAATATATAAATAATGCATGGAAAATATATGCAATCACATATGATCTTATAATCGAGTTTATGTAGTTGCGTTGTGCAGAAGATTAATTTACATATTATTATCGTGTTTTCAGTTTATATATGAAATAATAAAATATATATTTACACCCCTCTCTCTCTCTCTCTCTCTCTCTCTCTCTCTCTCTTTCCAACGCAATGCAAATCATTAAAATGAATTGATTGATAATTTATTGAGCCAGTATTACAATCAAAATATAACGAAGTTATTACAAAATATTGAACATTGCTTACTAAATTACACGAGAATTTGAACAGCAGTAAAAATAGGATTCATGTGCAAAGCCCGCTATTTCGATCTTCGGTAATTTAGTGACCGAAACCCTGATCGCTTTTATCGGGGTGGCTCCCTCGCAGCCAACCGGACTCAACGACTTTTCCAACCCCATAACTACGGATGCAATCTGCCAGAAACAGACTTCCACGAGAACTTCTCCCGTAGCCACTTATCGGCTACAGGGAGGCATCCGCGCGTCCGCAAACAAATCCATAAATAAAATCCTTAACGGACTAAAAAGCTTCGCAAGTGGCAAATATCGTACACACCCTTCGCAGATATTAAATTGCGAGACTGACCCAATAGAGATTTTTTTTAAAAGAAAATTTTCTTAAGAGTGATGGAAGTTATAACAAAAATGTGAGTGTATGACGCTTCAAAT